ACTACTGCTGAGAGAGGCAGATGCAGGGACAAATACAGCAAGCGATTGATTATTTGGAAGTGTATGAAGAGGCTCACTGAGAGAGGGTACACAGTGACTTCTGCAGTTAGAAGGATCCAGGAGGTGTATGGGTATCTACCTGTCAGTAAGCTGATTGAAAAGATGAGGAAGGATGAAAGGAATGGGGGACATGCTAGGCTGAGGAGCTAGTAAAATCGATCAATTTGTAGCAATCGATCCGTATGGAAGCTTTGCTGGGATTCGTTGCTGGGATTCGTTGCTGGGATTCGTTGCTGGGATTCGTAGCAATCGATTCGTTGCTGGGATTCGTAGCAATCATCGATTCGTTGCTGCTGCAGCAGCAAGAAGCAAGGGAGCAATCGATTTGTAGGGAAGCAATTGATTTGTAGGGAAGCAATCGATTCGTTGCTACTGATTCGGAGCAAGCAACAAGCAACAAGCAAGCATCGATTCGTAGCAATCGATTCGTTGCTGCAATTCGGAGCAGTCGATTCGTGTATGGAAGCAAGCAAGAAGAAGGAAGCAATCGATTCGTTGCTGCAATTTGTGTGGAAGGAAGCAATCGATTCGTTGCTGCAAAGGAAGCAATCGATTCATTGCTGCAAAGGGAGCATTCGTTGCTTGCGCTGGTGTGTTATTCGTGTTATTCCGTGTTATTCGGCCGTGTTATTCGGCCGTGTTATTCGTGTTATTCGTGGCCGTGTTACGTGTTATTGCTATCCTGAATAAAAGAGCAATCTTGGATAGCTGTTAAGAAATAGTAAGCAGTATTSTCCTATTAACACAGTTAGGAACACCCCCAGTACCAGTAGTATTGGGCCTGAGGTGCTTGTAGGAATCAGTAGTAAGGAGTTCGTGTGGAGGTGTTTATTTCCAGTAGTAAGCAGTACTCTTAGTACTGTCGACTTCCAGGTTTTTTGTTGTACCTTCATTCCCCAGTAGTTAGCACTCTTACGAGTACTTCCAAGTACTTGGTTAATTAAGGAGTGTACTCGTGTACCTCAATTTTCACTAAGTTTTTTGGTATTTCACCTCCAGTAGTAAGCCTCTCTCTTAGAAATACTTGTGTYTCAGCGAGTTGGCGATAATTTGTGTGTGGGTAGAATCCTACGCACTTTGTACTATGTATTTATTATTGTATATTTTATTACATGTACCCACACTGTATTGTAACAAAGGAGCGTGGCCGAGCGAGGAGATGTTTTTTTGATAATCGTTCTGCATGTCCGGGACTCACTTAACGTACGGTACTGAACAAAAAAATAGCAGGAATCAGGAATCATAAATAAGAGGAGGAAAGTTTACTCGAAGGTTGTTTTCGCCTCAATTTTAACAATAGGTACCAGGTAAACATAGTAAAACTTTTGTATGAAGTACTTTAGAAGTACTTCGTAAGAACTTTGTAACAAATTCAGCTAATAACTTTTAAACTAGGATTCTAAGTGCACCACTCTTTAGTATCAAATACAAAGATACCCTAGTGCGGTGCCAAGTATCTTGTCCACAAGTTGTGATATATTCACCTATCTAAACAACTGGCNGAGTTTTTCGGTTTTTCGGTGCGCAGAGAAATCAACAAGCCCGAAAACGTTCTCTACAAAATTCACATAGCAATGTGCACATCGTTGTGAAGAGAWAGGAAAACTCTTTCCGACTAATGGATTCTCTAAATCTGATTGGTGCTTTGGTAGCACTAACAAGCAAGCAAAGTTAAGAGCTCACAGCTAAAAACTGGCGCGTTTTATTGTACTCATAACCTATTACACTTTTCGTCCACACATTTGCCTTCCTACTGGTACTGTACGAAGTACGAAGTACTTTTTCTTCAGATAGTATCGTACATACTTATACCTAGTAAGGTACGTACGTACCATGCTTGCATAAACGGCATGAAACACGAAACCGACTCGTACCGGTACGTAGGCAAAACCGAAAAAGAACAAAAGAACATCATTCCAATCGCGAGGATGACGGAGAACAGAATAATACAGTATGGTACCGTACGATACCGTAGGGGATACGATTCGATTCAGACACCCGCGAGTACGGTACGTACGAACGAGTAACCCAAAAAATTGGAATTCGTAATCCCGGCATGATTTTGGTTCAAACGACGACATTCTTTCTCTGCCTATTGACGACTGCTGTATTATGGTACCGTACCGGCCGGTACGTACCAGTTTTCAGTATTGTTTCTTAATATTCGCATGATGCGATTCTAGATTCTGTGTGCGATGGCAACAAGATGGATATTACAAATGAAATTTGCGACCTTCCAGCAGCTATGAATGCCGGCGAAGGCCAAGAGCATCAATATTGTGAACAACAGCCTGTGCGTTCCTCGAGCAGTAGTCGTTCCGGGGGGCCCTCCGGTGTGGACTCCGTGTTGTCCGATCGGGCAATTCGTGCTATATTTCTATTGCTAGGGGTTGGAATTTTGATCCCTTGGAATGCCTTTGTCAGTGCCAAACCGTACTTTACAGCACGACTGTGTCAATCAGGCCATGATGTTGTTAACTTTGAGCAATGGTTCGGTCTGATCTGGAACTTGTCGTCGGTTGGTTCCCTCGGCTTAATAATCATGGGTCAATGTAAGTTGCAAAGAGGGGGGTTACAGTGTGCTTTCAAAATAATGTTCTCTCACTTCTTCGGAAAGCTGTCGTAGAGTACTGGAAGAAAAGGAACCCGCATACCATAGTAGATGACAATCAATCCAACAGCTCTTCGTCAAATGACAGCGGTTCGACTGAAAAGAAAAATGGTTCTTTTTACAACGTCATTGTTCCTTTGGGACTGTACACGGTGGTATTTTTCATTCAGGCACTGTTAGTGACGATTCCTGATATTTCACCTACACATTTCCTCGTTGTGACACTGATTGGATTGGGACTATGTGGTACCTGTGGAGCAATCGCAACGGCAGGAATTGTGTCCACGGCTGGACTCTTCCCTTCTCATATTGGGATTAACCCATTTTTTTCTGGACAAGCATTAGGGGGGACAGCCGTCTCCGTCGCAAATTTCGTTGCTATCGCCATGGGGGAAGATCCTAGTGATTACATCGACAAGCATTGCACACCCGCCAAAAACCATAGTTATGTAGTAGACTTTGAGGCGGATGATTTGATTTCATCGACAGCAATACAACGTCGGGTGGATGAAATCTTCCATTTCACAGAAGAGCCTCAAGACTGTTCTGCATACCATAGTCTTGATTGGGCAGTTTTGTCGTATTTTTTAGTGGGATGCATCGTTCTTTTTCTCTGCCTTGTTGGTTACAATAAAATATTTCAGCACCAAAACATGAGTTATCGGAACGACTATGAGACGGTTCGAGATCATCTCTTCGACCCCAGCAATAGGAGTGACTCTAGTCAGCCCCGCACCGATGAAGTTGATGATCATTCTCCTCGCATCGGTTTGGAGCTGAACGATCGGGTTTGTCAGCGCCAACAAATGCAATACAACGATGTTGAACTTCCAAATTCTTCGTCAACAAGATCGGAGCAACTTACAATGATTTCGAGCTATCACGACCAGTTGGTTACCAACAATTATGATACCGGTAGCAATAGCAAAGCTCATCCTATGTCTGATCCAGAGACAGCACAAATGACGGGGTCATCCTCTAATGACTCCTGTTTACCAAAAATGTGTGGAGCCAGCACAGACGACGAAGGAGGAGATGAGAATCAGATCCAAACCGATATATTTGAGGACGAAGAGGACGTAGATACTGGCGGTTCGGGAACTACGAAATCTATACTTTGGGCCATCAAGGGTCCAGCTGTCTGCATCTTTTTAACGTTCACTATAACCCTCGCTGTGTTCCCGTCTTGGATCTCTGAGCTAAGAAGCAGCCACGAATGTGAAAATCGGTTCCGGTTCGACAATGATCTTTACGTCCCCCTTAGCTTTGTTTTATTCAATACTGGGGATCTACTGGGGAGGCTTTTATCAGGCTACATACCAATCGATCGAATCAAGCATTTATCTCAAAAGCTTGTTTTGGGTGCAGTACTCCGTATCGGGTTTTTGTTTGTTTTTCTCATCTGTAATACGACGACCGGCAAGAACAGCAAGATGGTGGTTCGAAATGATTTCTTTTCGGTGTCGATTCAAATGCTTTTTGCCGTTAGTAACGGCATCTTGGTGTCGACAGCTTTCGCGTTCTCGCCACGACTTGTCAGCTCGAGTTCGATGATACAAGAGCGAGCCTCAGAAATAATGACGTTCTCTGTCTTCTTTGGTTTGCTCAGTGGGAGTTTGCTATCATTCCCATTCGTTCAGTTAGCCACGCAACTCCTTGGATAACAACAGTGAAGACACAAAATATGCGTTGAAGTTGACGTCGAGATGTTAGAGAAACATGGGCTGAACATGCTGCGCTAGAGTGCTTAAGTTGCATTTACTATTGATATTTTAGGATTGGTATGCAGTTATTCATCACATCTTTACAGTTAAACGTAGTATCGAATGATGATTTACTAGATGATGTCCGGATCAATTAAAGTTGACGTCATTCCTCCTTCTTATCGCTAGTCAGTTTTTCTTTCTGGATTAACAGTTTGTGGAAATTGGGGAAAAACAACGGTGTCTCTTTCATATACTGTGCGTAGTGAGGATATTTTGTAACCGATATATATTCGGTGAAAGGTCCTGATCCTTGAAAAAGAAGTAAATAAAGCACCCAGCCAATATGGGACCAATTCAGCACATTGCGTTGCCTCGCTATCCCCGAACGGAAGGCTGCAAGTGAAAACAATCCAAATGACACCCAGAGAGCTTGCTCGCAAGCATAATTCGGTTTACGAACAATTGAAAAAAGTCCAGAACGGGTGAAACCTTGGAGATATTCCCCATCTAGAGTCTCTCCTGCTGCTATTCGTCGATGCTTTTCATTTTGGAAATGTTGTTGTTGGTTGTCGGCGACGGATTCCAGAAAGACAAACCCTAGGTAAAGCATGGTAGCTGCGAGATCAAGGTAATTCAGAGAAGGAGAATAAATGGAACCATCGCTATTCGTGGCGCATCTAGTCGCTACAACGTGTGCCACAATAGAAGGTGACACAACAACAAGTAACAACAAGTGCTGATAGAGTGAAATGAAAATAAAATTGAAGATTGTCCATGTAATCCGATTTTTCAACGCCCTGTGAAGATAACCGTCTTGAATATACTTCCATCGATAATCCTCGTCGCCCTTCCACGGAGGCCAAGTGTAACCACCTCGTCTGTAGAAATTCCACGTAAGACGAAAACCCCAAACAGTCGATAAAATTGCCATCAGGAATGTCCTCGCATCGCATACAAGGATCCAGGTGTATACAAAAGGAGTGATGCTCCATCTGGAAGAAAAGAATATAGTTGTGAAATTTTTCGTCAATTGTGAGCATGACTCTAATTCAAATTTTTATACGGTCCTAGACTTGACACTGACGTACAGCTTATCCGTTTGAGAATAATTCCTTGAAAATTCCGATACAACAAATACTAATATAGTGAAAAAGAGGCAAACGATGCAGCATAGTTGGGTAGGGGTTTCAGCATTTATTTCTGCCCAGGTCAATTCGACTAGGTTGCAACTGTCATCACTGATTAAGTGGTTGTCGTCACCGCTATTCGATATCGTCATTTCCGATTAGGGCAGCGTAGAGTGTGATTGTATTCTGTACTCCTTAATCCATCAGATTCATTAAATTGAAACGATACTGCTGTAATTTGACGAAAGGTCGGTGTCGGGAGAGATTTTATGAAGTTTTGACTGCGATTTCTATGCCATCCAGCAATCGGGTACAGATCA